CCAGAGCCTCAGGCAAGAGCTTTCTCAAGGGAGCATCTTGCATTCATTCAACAAACAGCCGCAGGAGCTGGCGTGGGGAGACAGCGGAGAGCAGGAGAGACTAGCCCCCTGGCCTCAGGGGTCAGCCCCTCCAGTGCAGAAAGGCAAAGAACAGTGGTGTGGAGGAGAAAACAGGCCCCAGGACAGGAGACCAGGCGGGGGGGGGGGGGGGGGGGCTGGGTGTGAAACTCGTCTCTGACCTTCTAAAAGGGCCAAGCCCATCTCCTCTGTCAAGTGTGGGCTGGCCAGGTGGCAGGGGCCACCTTCTCTCTGTAGAGACCTCTAGCCAGCTGCCCCAGACCACCCAGGTGGGGGAGGGAGGCAGTGCCGGGTAGGGGGGCAGAATCCTGACTCGCCCTGCACCCCACCCCTAGCCCTGGTCTCCCAGCCCTGGCCGGCTGCCCTTCCCTGTCCCCAGATCCAATCCCACTGCTCCCCTTGCTCCCCGCAGCCCTCCCCCCTCCCATCCCTGATCTGAATCTGCCAACATCAGCCAGGCATCGGAGCCGTGGCCGCGATCGAGTCTGACAGGGGAGCAGTGGGCAAGTCGGAGTCTCCTCTGTGCCGAGAGGGGCTCACTGCGTGGGGCGTGGCCTGGGTGGCAGAGCCGCCCGTGGGCACTCAGGGACTCCACCCAGAGGGAAGGGGCCGCTCTGCCCCTGCTGAAATGAAAGGGCTTCGGCTGTCAGGTCGTGAAGCCTGCAGGTCAATCAGAGGGTTCTGTTGAGCCATCTATGAAAGCCCACAGTGGCCTCTCCCTCAGCCAGCCTGTGCCAAGAGGAAGGTGGCGGGAGAGGCTTCAACTGGGGTTCACATATTCCAAAGAGTCAGCCTCTCGTTTTCATTTCTTTTCTTTTTAGTATCATGGACTTTGGGTCTGGTGGGTCCTGGCCACTGGGCAGCCTTGGGCAGGTTGTTTACCTTCTCCAAACCCCAGGCTCCTTGCTGTGAAGTGCTGAAATGAAAGAGGAGTTCTTATCTCACAGCTCCCTGGGAAGGCAGCACACAAGAGATATCAGCTGTCACCAGCACCGTCCTGTGCATCTCAGGGGACCCTGTCCTATTGACCTCTGGGAACCTCCCCCAGCTCTGAGCTCCCAGAAGGCAGATTGCCTGGCCCGGCCTCTGCACCATGGTGTGGTGCCTGGCTACCGCAGTGGCCAGGGGCCAGCTGGGGAGGCGAAGAGGGCTCAGCGGCTGTCCCTGTCCACACTTCTCCGGAGCAAAGGAAAGCCTGAAATGGAGGGAGGTCCTGACACAGTAAATCTTCCAGGACTCCGCTCCCTCCTGCCCCGCCCGCAGCAGGATCTGTCAGGGTGATCTGTGATTCCGTCCTCCGGACGGACCCCGAGTGCCCACCAGCAAGCCTCCTCCTCATCCATCATCCTGATGATCCCTGAAGAAGGAACGCGCCGAGCTTGCTGTCACAACGCATTTAAACGTGGCAGTAATTAAAAACCGCCAGCAAACGCTTTGCAAACAGACAGGGCTGTTGTTCCCAACCAGGGCAGTGAAGAAACCCACGCGCCACGGGCCACACGCGCCCACCGCCCCGTTCCCTCACACACTCAATGTCTCGCAGTTGTGCTGGTCACATCTGAAGGGCGCTCAGTCGAACAGCCCTTCATCGGAGAGGCAGGTCTCATGCTGCCCTTCCACCATCACAAGCAATCCAACGCCACGCCTGCCCACCCCTCGGCGCCCTGGTCCAATCCCTCCGCTCTCTAGACACGCTGGACCTCGGAGGCACGTATTTAGGGATACAAATGGATCTGCCGCTGGGCCTCAACCACCGCAGAGAGCCACTCATGCAGCAAGAGACCCCGCACCGGCTGAGTTGGTGACTGTCGGAAGGCACGGCGGTTCCCTCCAGCAGGAAAGGGCAGTTCAGCCCCTGGCCTGGTGCCGGTGCAGGAGCCCAAGAACCCAGCACCAGCAGCTGCCCCCCAGACTCTCAGGGGCTCCAGGACCACAAGGGTTCCCAGGGACAGCCTCCACTCGGCACATCTGGAGACCACGGTCACCCTTCCTGAGGGTCCCCAGAGGCTGTTCTTGCCCACGTCCCAGCAGACCCCTTGCTGGAGAGCTCTGCTCCTCTGCCTCTTCAGGATGGCACTCTGGTGACAGGCAGTGGCCAGTGCTTGCCTTTTGGTGTGTAAGTCACAGCACGTGGGGTGCAGGGTGAAGTTCACAGTCCCCCACCAGTGATGTTTTCCTCGGACAACCCGTCAGGGCGCACCCTGAGCTGGGACACTGGCAGAGTTCTGGAGAGAGCCGCTGCGGGTGCCTGCCTGTCAGGAGGTCTCAGTCCTCCGGCCCCGAGGCCACCCACGCTTGGCCCCAGGGCACCGTGGGGGCACTCGGTTCATATCAAGGACCCGATCTGACCGAGCCCCACTGCCCAACAGGGAGGAGCCCTTGCCGCCCGCCGTGTTCCAGCTGGGAGTGGACGGCTCAGCCATCTGCTGGTCTGAGTGACACAGGCTGGGTGTGGAGAGGCTCGTTTCTGGGTGGAGATGCTGCCATCAACCAAGTCAGCATGCAACTGCGAAGTCTGTGTTGTGGACGGAGCTGGGTCGGGTGTGGAGTGGCTCCTCCCGCCAGGCCGGACGGTGGCCAGCTTGAACGAAGCCAGCGCAGACGCCCCTGCACGCAGAGAGCCTGCTGTTTAGGGAAACCTGATGGCACGTTGTTTCTGTGAAGTCAGATTTACCCCTTTAATTTTTATTTTTGGAAATGGGATTTTGCTTAAAATCAGGACATGATTTTATACACACAGAACGAGTCTGGCAGTGACCTCCCAGATCCAATGAGGTCTTCAGGTAGCCACCTCTCATCAGCTGTGTGAGTGTGGGTAAGTCACTGCACCTCTCTGGTGCCACATGTAAAGTGACAGTAAAAAGGGCATCTACTGCACATGTCACGGGTCATCTAAACCAGTCCTGGTTTTGATAAAATGTCCTCCGTTTAAATACAATTGTGTCCTCAGAAGTGTCTAGAACACACCTCTCTGCACAGCCTGAGAAGGAAGCCCTTGTCCTGGAGGCCAGAGCTACGCCTGGGCCCCTTCCTTGGGTGTTTTGCTGCTCAGACCCACGGCTGAAAATGCCATGGAGTTTGAATGAAGAGTGGACACAGAAAGAAGCAAAGGGTGGCTGGTTGTCGAGGGCAGGGTTGGCCGTCATGCTGATTTGAAATTCCTGGCACACATTCACCAGGATCTAAGCAACCCTGAAATAAAAACACCATTGCCACAATGGGAATTGTGACTGAAAACGTTGGCTTGAAGGTGCCTGTGCCGACTGCTGGGCCCCGATTGGCTGGCTCTTCCTACCTTCCTCCCGCCGCCCTCCCCTGTAGGAATTTCTATTCCTGTTCGCCATCCTTTTTCTAGGTGAGGTCTTGGGAAAGAACATGGAAAAGCTGGACAGGGTGCCAGGAGCCCATGTTGGGTGTCAGTCAGAACCAGCTCCGTTCTGCTGCCAGCGATCCTGAAGGTGGCCCCTGCAGGCCGGGGTAACCAAGGCAGCACCTCTCCCAGATCACCAGGAGGACTGAATGGCACAGCACGCCAAAGGCACTCAGCCCCGAGCTCAGGACGTGTGAAGCACATGACGAATGCCACTCACCATGACAGAGATGCCCGGCAGAGGCAGGCACTGCGCCACGTGCAGTTGATTGATGAGGCAAACACAGTCACTGGCCCCTTGGGAAATGAGGCAGGTGACGTTTAATTATCCTGCTTGGAAGGGCCAGAGACACTCACAGGACAGGGACCAGCTCTTCCCATTAGTTAAGAGAGATGAGGACTTTCCTTGTTTGTTCTAAGCAAACTTGAGGCCAAAGGGACCTGACCAGCTCAGAGAAACTCAGCAGGGGGCCTTGCCAGGGAATCCAGCAGGGGAGGCAGCAGGCCGGGCGTCTGGAGTCTGTCTGGGTGTGAGCACCCACGCACACTCTTGCCCCTGTACTTGACTGGGGCTCAACCCGCCTGCAATGGGGAGGTGGCTTCAGACTGTCGCTGGCATGCTCATCTCTAGATTGGGGCTCAAGTGAGGCTCCTCCTACTTGCATATAACCACTTACAGAGAACTTGCGGTCAAGACTAGTAAAACCTCCCATTCACACAGTGCTTGCCGAGAGCGCGGCCCAGTCTTGGGGCACTACATGTACTAACTCAAAGGCTTCTTCATTCCAGGCTTCTTTCAGCTTAGGGTCCCTGTGAGTGCAGCCTCCACCTGAGCATCTGCAGAGACAGGGCCCCTGCCCCTAAAAGGTGGAAGGGCCAGAACGTTCTCTCTTGTACCCAGCTCAGACCTGTCTTGCTTTAACTTCCAGCTGAAGACCCCAAGGGCTGTGCTTTGGGGTAGGTAGCAGAGGTCTGCTTCCCTCCCCTACAGATGTCTGGGAGATTGGGAAGCAGCCACACACCCAGAACACCAGCCAGACAGGGCAGGATAGGCCTAGCCTCTGCCTCCATCCCTGTGTGTGGTTCACCCAGAGAACTGAACGAGTAACAAGGGCGAGCGTGTACTAAGCACTTTAGATGTGCTGTGCCTCTGGATGTCTCCGAATTTCACTATCAGACCATCCTTAAAGGCCCTACTGTTAGCCCCAGCACCGAGGACCAGGAACTTGACCCAGGCTGCACTGTCCATAGGCAGCAGCTGCCGACTGGGAGCCCTGAGCCGTGGGAACCGAGCGCCAGGGAAACCGCAGGCGAGGAGCAGAGGGGGCCCCGCAGGGCGCGGGCGGGCCCGGGGCGCCCAGGCCCCGCGGGAGATCGCGCAGCCCCAAGACCGCGGGCTAGCCGTCAGCACCGGGGACAGCTCCCGGGCCGCTCCCGGCAGCCCCCGCCGACGGTGCGCGGGGCTGCGGCGCGCGCTCCCGGCCCGGCTCGTGCGCGCGCCCTCCCCGCCCGCGCGCGCCCCGCTCCCGGGACTGGGTTGGAGCCGCGCGTGCCGCTTGCAGGGATCCAGCCCGGGCGTCCGGAGCCGCGGCCGCAACGCGCAGCTGGCAGGGACTCCCTCCTGGCCACGCAGTCGCCTTCCGGGGTCCTTCTGGGGCCTCTCGGCCCCCGCCTCGCCCGCCCGGCCCCAGCAGGAGCCGCAGACGTGGCCTGGGCTCCGGTCGCCGCTCCTAGCTGCGCCCTGCCTGGAACAGACGCCCGCCCGGCCGCCCCGTCACGTGCGCCCAAGTCCTCGGCCGGGCAGCGCCGTTCCCATGGTTCAAGGTAAGGGCCGAGCGGGCGCGCGGGTCAGCGGGTGTGGGAGCAGACGTCGCAGGCTGGGAAGCCCCAGCTCAGTGCCCAACTCACCCACTGCAGTCTGCCCCAGCCACCTTGCCCCCAGACCCCCTGTCCCACGTAGATACGGGGCCAGCACTTCCTGTCCCATCATGGTCCACCTTCAAAGTGAACTGCGCTGGGCATGGGGGCCTAAGGGAGAGGCTAGGAGACCACTGTGGGAAGGGAGGCTTCATTTCCCTCCAACAGTGGCCTGGGGTAGGGGGGTGGGGAGGGAAAGTTTGCCAAAGAGCTGCTTGGAAACCTGCCCCCGTTCTCTGCTGCCAGGACCTGAGACCTTTTCCATTCCTGAGACTTACCATCTGTCAGGCAGGCACCACACTGGGCACTTGACCTGCCCGGCACCCCTGAGATAGGGTCATAGGTCCCATTTGACAGATGAAGAAACTGAGGCCCAGAGAAGTTTGGTCCCTTGCCCAAGGTCACACAGTGAGTGGTGGAGCTGAACTCAAAACCTGCCTCGGGCACCACTTCATGCCCATGTTTGTCTGTGTGAAACCTCAGCTTAAGTAGTGGGGACAGAAGCAGGGGTACCAGACTGACATTTGCATTTTCTCAGTCAGGAATGAAAAAATTCCAAGCACATAAAAAAAAAAAAAAATCCAAGAGCAGCTTCATCGCCACCCCCCAGCTCCTTCACCTCCACAGGCTCAGTGCCATGACCCATCCAGGCCAGGACGGTGGGCAGGTGTGGTCCTGCCAGTGTGCATCTGTGGCTCTGAGACAAAGAACTCCAGAGTCACCCTCATGGACCTTTCTCCAGGCCAAAGGGACTGTCCTGGAAGCCCGAGCCCCTGCATGCCTCCAGTGCCCCACACCAGGAAGCCAGAGTTCAGGAGAGTGGAGGGACAGCACCAGGCTTCTCTGTGCACTGCCCTCTGCCATGCCAGCCAGGCTCCTGGGGGGCTTACAGGGACAGTGGGAACTTCCAGCTCCTGAGAAGTTCAGCCTTGCTCGGAACGCACACACACGGTCTTCCCCTTCCCCCCGAACTAGAATTGTGAACAGGGCCCAGGTGACCAAGGCTCTCGCCACCAGACCCCTCTGGGCTGTGGGGAGGGCGGCTTGAACTCTGCACCGCCTGTGAAGTACCGGTAGCTCTGCTGGAGCTGGGGAAAGTTCGTCACGGCTGCAGCCAGGCTCAGCCAGCCTGAGCTTCCCTTCCTCTTTCCGCCTTGGCGGGCATCGCGTTGCGTCTGCGTGATGCTGGGGAGAAACACAACAGCAGTCTCTGCCCAGGTTTTGGGCCCTGTCCCCTGGGTTTCCTGGGAGGCTGGCTCATCTGGACTCACTTGGCAAGCTTGGAAAGGCTCCTGCAGGCTGCGGTCTGGGGAGGACCCACAGGCCATCCCAGCCTCAGTGCCCCAGGGCCTGGGGAGGGAGTGGGGAGCTCTGCGAACCCCACCTCGCTGGTCTCCAGGGCACGTAAGCTGCGAGGAACACAGCGGAGGGAAGTGCTGCTTCCTGCCCCACCTCTCCAGCAGGTGGGGCGGGAGCCCCAGACACCCACTGCTGGTGCCCGTGCAGTTGGGCAACATGGGCAAGGGTACCGGGGAAGGGTGGGCACGGGCAGAAGAGTCGCCTTTCTGGGTGACCTTGGACAAGTAACGCTCCCTTTCTAGACCTAGCCCCCATCTGTGCCAGGAGGGGATAGATCACCCTCTGTCCCCTGGAGGCCTCCACGGCTCTGTTCCTCGTAGCCCTGGATGGAGTGGCCAAGGCCGGGGGAGCCACAGCCCATTCTCTTGTTGTCCTGGTGGTGAGGGAGTGAGGAGCGGTTTGGACATCTCAGGCCAACCTGAGTCCCAGCCCCCAGTCCCTGCCAGCCCCACCCCCTCTCACCCCCATCTTGCACACTCAGGGCCAGCTCTAGGTTGCCAGGGCTGGTTTAGGGTGAGGCTTTGTGGCCGGGCCCCTGGCTGCCGTGTGCCTCGGGTCCCACCACGTGGGCTGACATACAGAGCCGGGGCAGTGGGATCCAGAGAGGAGTAATTACAGCTCTCGGAGGGGAGATGGACCACATCCCAGTCAATCGCGTCCAGCTCGAAACTCTCCGGGCAGAAGGGGAAGCAGATTGGCAGCTGGCCCCTCCTGTCCTCCTCTTAGCTGCCACTCTGCTGCCACCTCCCATTCCAAAGCAGCAAAGCCCCAACCCGTGCGTCAGGACACTGTGGTGTGTGGTGGAGAGGGTGGGCTCCAGGCCGTGTCTGGGGTGAGTCACTTAGGGCCTCATCTGCAGATGGGTGCTTCTGCTCCCCACCCACACAGGGTGGGCACCTGGGCACCTGTGAACTGGGCGAGGCTGTGGGGCCCACCTGAGCAGGCGGCAGCCAGTCTGTGCTGGTCTTTCTTGCTCTCAGCCCCTTGGGATTGCTCCAGAGGGCTTTGACGAGGCTGGAGCCTCCCACCCTTGCCAGTCCCTCTCCTTCCCCTTGGACACGGAGGTGCCAGCTGCAGGGTGAAGTCTGCTGTCAGAGCTCTTTGTCCCATGGGAACTAGGTCCCCTCATTGGGTTCAAGCTGTCGAATCCTCTCCACCTCCAGGCCTTGGTCCAGGCCCCTTGCTGGGGTCAGGAAGGCCTATGAGGGGCTGCTCCTGCTGCCTGGGGAGAGGTGGGCTGTGGCAAGAACCCAGAACTCAGACCAGGTCTGGGTCAGAGCCCAGCTTGCGGCTTCCTGGCTGAGGGGTCCTGGGCCCTGTGCTCCTGGGCCACACACGGCTCCTGGGTCCCCGCTTCCCGGGGGTCGTGTAATTGGGGCTAGAGGGGGACAGGAGTCAGACAGACCAGGCCCATAAGCCCTGCTCAGAGGAGGGCTTTATCAAGTCCACGCCTGGGGTTAGGGTCAGAACTGGTCTTTAGAGGACACTCGGTGGCTGCAGCATGGAGGGTGACTTGGAGGGGTGGCAAGAGGCAGGGGGCCCTGGGAGGAAGCTGCAGCAGGGGAGCGAGGAGGCCTGGACCAGGGTGGCCAGAGGCAGTCAGATGCCGGGCACATTCAGGGCTGCCGGATGTATGTTGGGGCAGTGGGCAGATGGCCAGGACAGGACAGGCGTCACTTCCATAAAACTCTAAGCAGAGGCTAAGCTGGAGACTGAGCCAGGTCTGGACACTGGGTGGGCTGCACGTAAGCAGTGAGGAGCCTGGGTATGCGAGCACCTGGAGGAGGACTGTATTCAGGACCAGCGTAGCACCAGGCCATACGTCCTGCCCTGGCAGGATGTTGCTACTGTCCTCGATGAAGGTGGTCCTAGGTAGTGGCAGCCAGTCACCTGTGACCATGTGCTCAGCTCTCCCAGGGGGCTGGGCCAGTAGGGAGGACTAGGAGCTGGCTGTCCAGGGACTGGACAGTGGTCCCAGCACAAACCAGGCTTCCAGGGCCAGGGCTGCAGCCACATCTGTCACATTCCCTGGCTGCCGAGTTGGCAGTGAGGCCATGCTGTAAGAGCATCGCCTTTAGGCCTGACCAGAGCTGTCTGTGTCCAAGCTGTGAGTCCCTGTTAAAGTTACTTCACCTCTCTGGGCCCAGATTCTTTAGTCATAAAATGCCAATACTTATATCCACATGGGAGGATGTATCATGCGATGGGCCGGGGATGGGGGGGACCCTCACTGCTGAGCACTAGTGAAACCTCTTCCGGGCCAGGTGTACCCGGGGAAGCCATGGTGGTGCCAGAAGGTGGCCTTGGGCAGACTGGCCACAGGGCTGCCCCTCACAAGCAGGCAGTGCCCACCGTGAGATGGCACTGGCTCCCTGGCTGTGAGGTCGTGAATGAGCAGAGCCATTGCCACCTGCGTCTTGGTGCTTCCCAGCCAGGTCCAAGGTTTCCACAGGCAAAGACGACCCCTCGGGCAGTCCCGGGTTGGCCTTGCCTGTCTGCTGGGCCTGCATCTGGGACCCATGGGGAAGAGTCCACTCTTTTGTTTTGTTACATGTAACTTACAACCACAAATCTGTGGCCTGAGAACCAGGACCAGCGGCATCAGCATCCAGGGAAGGTGGAGGGTGCAGGCGCCCAGCCCCTTCCACTCTCCTGGGGGACTCCATGTGCCCCTGGTTCTAGAAAACACACAGGCCGCTACAACAGAAAGCTGTCCAATTACCTAACAGGTGACTTCACCTTTTATGCCACGTTAGTGTTTATCTAACACACATTCAGTTTAATCTACATCGTGCCATTTTAATAAACGCGATACCCGCCTGCCCGAAGAGACAAATGAGGCCATCCTGCTTCTTTGGGTTCATTGCCTACAAAGTCAAAGGCCCTAGCCCCTGGCTGAGGTCCACACCTGCACTAGCTCTGCAGGTGGCTGTGTTGGCCACATGGGAGTCACACAGGACCATCCTATCCACCGGTGCTCCCCCTTGTCCTCTGCCCCCTCCTTTCTGCCCCATGTCTGTGCATGCTCGGCTAGTGCCCTGACTGAACTGCTCACCCCTCCTCATGGCCTTCCCTGGATGGATTAGCGATGGTCCTGCAGGCCGTGCACAGCTTGGGTTTATGTAGACTTGATTTGGGGGTGCACTGGGAGTAGGATTAGACACGGTGCAGGACAGTTCTCCATGGACTGTAACTTGGGTACAGGAGGCAGGTGTCCCAGATCTGGGGAAGGTAGCCCTGGGCTGGAGCAGTCTTGGAAGGCTCCCTGGAGGCAGAACTTAGCTGCAAGGAGAGTACGGAGTGAGGGCGCAGGTGTGGCAGAGAGCAGGGGCATGCCTGCCGTCACTGGAGGCGGGGGAGACCATCTGGTGACGGTGGCCTGCTAAAGATGCCCCTGAATTTCCCTGCTGCCTTAGTGGAAGCTGCTTCCCCTTCATCTTGTCGCTTTGGACCCTTTAAGAGGACGAGGGCTGAGGCCTCACTCCTGCCCTGGCCTCAGTGCGCTGCCCTCCTGGGTGGGCTGAGGCCGCCGTGCCCTCCTTGCTCCC